GTTTACCTGTTCATCAGTTAATGGACATTTGGGTTGTTTCTACTTTTCAGCTATTATAAATAATGCTGCTATGAGCATTTGTGTATAAGTTTTTGTGTGGACATATGCTTTCAATTCTCTTGGGTGATTACCCAGGAGTGAAATTGCTGATTATAAATTTTTTGATATATATATATATGTATATATATAAAACTTTTTGAGCAACTGTCAGACTGTTTTACACATCAGTTGTACCATTTTATATTCCCACCAGCAGTGTATGAAGGTTCTAATTTCTCCACACCCCTGCCAACACTTATTATTGTCTCTTTTTTATTATAGCCATCCGAGTGGGTGTGAGGTGGCATCTCATTGTGGTTTTGATTTTTATTTCCCTTTCATTTTTATATTCTCAGAATTTCCAGTTTCTTTTACAAAGCCTGGCATATAAGAATACCCAATAAATGCTTGTCATTAATCCATTCACTCATTCATTAACTAAATATTTATCAAGCGTCTACTATGTAGCAGTTGCCCTTCTCAAAACTAAGAACACCACAATGTACAAAATAAGCAAAATGAATGAGGAATGAGTAAGCAAATGCTAGTAATCCTGGGGGTTGGTCTTCAGTAGAGAGGTGGTCCTGGATTTCTGATGGGTAGATGAGACACAATGATTCTGCTGTCACCTCCACATCCACTCATCATGCTGTTCTGCGTGTGACTTATGAAGCTCCAACATCAATTCAAGAGGATCAATTCCTACTCCAGAGCCAGGTGTAAGTTCAGAGTGAAGAGTATGACAAGAGTTAATAACACTCCTGCCATCATTCTTCTGCATGCAAGACAAAGAAACATCTGTTATATCTGGCATGTGTTTGCTCCTTTTCTGGTAACAGCCCCACAGTTTTTCTTGGGGAATCAGCCTTTCCACACGCTCATTCATTCATTCAACAGATATTCTTTTGTACACTATTATGCGACAGATATGGTTCAAACTGCTGAGGATACGGCAGTGAACAAAACTGACAAAATAAAAATACCTACTTCTTCACGGGGCTTACATTCTAGGGTTTAGCCCACGTGCTTGAGGCAGAGATGAGTCTATCCCTTACTTCATGGGACATATGGCCCAGGTCCAGCCAATCAGAGTATAAATCCCCATGGCTACAGTGACCGGTTCAAGGAGAAGCACATGACCCACACAGACTTTGCCAGAATAATCAGAAGATTATTTTGTGCTCTTTTGTCTCTTTTTCTTGAACTAGAAGACATAAACCTAGAGCTTCAAGGGGTCACCATGAAGAGACAACCCGCGTAAGCACGAACCTAACAAATGAGCAAGCAGAGCTACAAGACAGAACGAAAGGAGCAAGTTCTAATGACATTGTTGGAATCCCTGAAACACGCCAGGCCTGAAACACGATACTCCTGGACTACTAAGGTACTGAAGCCAACAGATTTTTCTCTTTTTTTGCTTAAACCACTTTGAACTGGATTTTCTCCTTTTAACAACTAAAAGAGCCTTAATTAATACACAGAGTATTTCCTATGAAGTCTAAACAAAATTAGGTAAGCCAGGGTCACTTTAATTTCATGACTAACACAGCTTTCCTCAAACCCAGAGTCACAAAGACCCCAGCACTGAGACATAACCCCATAACTCAGATGACATCTTAATACAAACCCGTGCTGGAGCCTGTAATTAAACCTGCCCACCTCTTCTCTTTTCTGAGAACTCTAGCCTTCTGTCAAGGAAAAGTTTGTCAATAACGACAGGAAACTCCTCTCTTCAATAATCTGCTCCTCTTCCTCTGCTCCCATGACACCCTTATAAAATTGGAAATTGACAAATGGGCCCAGGGTTGACAAATGGGCCCAGGGAAGCCCAATGTTTGTTCCACTCTTGAAGAGACTTCACATGTTCTTCATTTTTATTTTTCTGCTACACAATTTTATTTCCACTGAGGAGTTAACGGCAAAACTTCTACCCTGAGGAATGTTGCCTTTTGAACTAAACCTCAAAGTATTAAGGAAATGAAATGAACTCAGATTATTTTTTTCTTTTAGTGAAGTAGAGGCAAAATAAAGCTGGTTTCCTGAAATTACTCATGAAAGAAAACTCTCAACGTGACAAAAATGATAAGAACTTCTCTACGAACAAAAGAGGCAAAAATTATTAGGAGGCAGCTTGGGTGACTGGGTCAGAGAGATCACAGGATTAGAACCTTGGAAGTTTCTGAAGCCAGAAGAGCAACTTCATACAACTGATTCGCAGGGCAAGTTCCCCAGCCTCTGAGACAAAAGGGTGATTTCAACAGCTACGACTTACCCATCTAAGGGTTTCCCATGCCCCTTTCAACTTAATTGCCTGAAGGCTTACTCTGTTCAACGTTCCAACTGGAGCTGAGGAGAGTCAAGAGTGATGTACCAAATACTTTTCTGATTGCCCAATCTGATAGTCAGATTGGGCAGTGAGAAGGGAAAGCTATTAAACAAACTCAGAACGGCTAAGGTAGGCAAAGGGTCTTATAAGAAGAAGGTTATTAGGGGTGAGGAGAGAGGTTCAGGGAACGTTTCCCACAAAAAGAAGAGGTGAGCTGGCTCTTGAAGGGTAGGTCCACCAGTGGACAAGGATGAGAAAGGCACTCCAGATGGGAGAACACCTGGATTCCAACATCACCCCTGGCAGATGTGATGATTGGTTACTTAGGCAACACAAATCAGAAACTGTGTATTCAAATAAGAATTAAGACCTTCGAAGTAGTCACTTCAGGATATTATATGTTTATCCCAAGGATACTGTCCCTGCTCAATTTCTAAGCTGTTTTCCTCATTTAGAAGAGCTTCAATGTCTTCTGCAGATGAATGTATTTTGTAAATATAGCTCTAGACTTTTATGGTCAAGTCTGATGAATATGGTCAATGATCAAGATTGGGAATACTGATTTAGGGGAAAAAAATAGGTGGGCTATAAAGTAATGACACAGATTTTCTAGAGTAACTGACAAGCTGGACTTCAAGTCAATTCCAAAAGTGAAAAAATATTAAATAATGGCAGAATCCTTGAAATAGGGTAATTACTTGGCTATGTCACGGCAGGGAAGGGAAGGGACTCGGAAGGGACTCTTGAAGGTTCAACAGGAATTTTCCAGGCAGATAATGGTATACATACTAGTATGTCTGTTTGTTTTTTAAAAAGGCTCCCTGTAGTCACAGCTCCTGAGAGTTGGAAAATGAGATTGAAGGCATACCTTATGCCAGTTATTGGTCCAGACTCTCTCTCACTAGCCACTATTTGAATTCTCAAGTAAAAAACGGCTGGAATCTGATACTCCAATGAAATAAGAATACCGCTTTCCTTGTAAAATGTGTTACATCCTATACCAGTGCATGATAGAAGCAGCTGTTATTAAAAAACCATGCTGGATAACGGTTTCATTATCTCTTATACAACTACCAAGGAATAAAGCAATTTGAGTACCAACAGGAAGAATGAATACATTAGCATAACAAAATATAGTGACAATAAGAAATTTCCAGAAGTTATTTGATAAGTTCACCTCCATTTACTAGAGGAAAACTCATCATTTTACATATTTGCCAGCTTTGTCCTTACAATGTTTCCATACTGAGTCTATCTTGCATTGTATCAAAAGATTTTAAATTATTCTCAACATTCAAAATATATTTTTTACTTTTTGTTGTTGTTGTTGAAGACAATTCGCCCTGAGCTAACATCTGTTGCCAATCCTTCTCTTTTCACTTGAGGAAGATTCGCCCTGAGCTAACACCTGTGCCAATCTTTCTGTACTTTGTATGTGGGTCGCTGCCATAGCATGGCTGACGAGTGGTGTAAGTCCATGCCCAGGATCCCAACCCAGGCTGCCAAAGCAGAGCGCTCCGAACTTAACCTCTATGCCACAGGGCCAGCTCCTAAAATGTATTTTTTAAAAGGACATATGTATGTGCCTTGATTTTCCAAAATTAATACACCTATTCAAATATGTATTTACAAAGAAAATCTAATCCCTGCCCCGAGATTATCACAGCATGAGTAGATGGCCTCTAAGAATCACCTCTAAGTTCCTAATTTTCCTGTGTGAACTTAGGTTTATCATATTGTTTTTGGCTGATTTTTATAAAAACGGATGTTTCCTGCCACCCATATACCCCTACTGAGCTTAATGTTTATTTTATTATGTTTTATTTTAGTTCTCTATTGAAATGTAACATGCAGTGTTACATAAAGGAGAAAAGGGTTTGGACACACATAATGAGTTTAATTTTAGAATTTAGGGACATTAATATTTGTCTATGATTTAAATCTACTTATTTAAAAACTCAGAATTTGTTGAGTAGTATGTGTCCAACAAATATGGAATCTACCCAGATCTATCTGCCACTTTTAGTCCTATATATGTTTAATTTAAAATGTTAAGGCAATTGCTTTTTATTATATTACTGTGAGGCTAAGAAGTAAATCACACTCTGTTGTCTGTAGACTAGCATCCATCATGACACAAAGAAAGGGCCATACAATAAAATTAAGGTGGTTTTCATAAGGCCTGAAAATAATCAGCATTAGATGTAGGGAGAATACTGAATTGGGAAGCTCTATTCTAGACAAACCCCACAACGGCTAAAATGCCGTTTACAGAGATTCACCACCGTCACCTCCTTTGTTCATATCTAACAGTTCACGGGCTATAATGTACAGTGCTAAACGGCAAAATCTGATAGTTTTATTTCCCATTATAGTCACCTAAAATATTTTCACATTATGATATTAGTAGAATCATGCAATTATTACATGAATACAGTTAAGTCCAATTGATTCTTCTGTCTTATTTTAAAGATTCATTATTCTACTACACTGGTGAAGAACAATGAAAACCAAAACCATGTTATTTTAGAAAATCATAAGTTTAACATCAAAACAATTATCTAGCATATATATTTGTTAAAGTTTTAATATTCAACTGCTTCTTTGCATTGAAACATGTGAAAGTGTATCTGACCTGGAAGTACTTCTGACATGGATCACTGGACGTCCAAGCTGGCGCAGGAAATCGGTTATAATCTGAAATCTGAAAAGAGGGATCATTTGAGAAATTAAAACCCCAAATAACAAAGCATAAAAAGAAAAAAGCAGAGCCATTGAACATTTTTTCAAAAGCTGTCAAAGATATTAAACAAATTTTGGCAGATACTGTGCAAATTTTTGTTTATTGATATACCACTTTTGACTGAAATTTGAATTCCTGCTTAACCACATTTCCCACAAACATTTCTGGAGATTTTTTTTCCATGCCAGGCTTAAGTTATCTGTTTATCAATTTATTTATCTACCTATCTTTGTGTCTCAAGTTTCCCATGTTTTTTCTCATTAAAAACACACAATTCAGGAAGTCAATAAGGAAAAAACCGGTACATTTCACCACATAAAAATTTAAACCTTCTGTTTAGGGAAAAAAAAGGCTATAAACACAGTAAAGACCAAAAACAAACTGAAAAAAATTAACACCACAGATGACATAAAAGAGTTAATTTTCTTTATACAGAAAGAGTTCCTTGAAATTATTAAGAAAAATATGAATAAGCCTGTACGAAAATGAGCAAAGGACAAGAACAAGTCCCAACAGAAACACAAATGTCCAGTAAACATATAACTAATCTCACTCAAAACTAAAGAAAATGCAAACTTAAATAACAATGACTTACTGGTTTGTCTATAGCAGACTGCAAAGATTAATAGGCTTGATAATACCAATCTAAAGCAAGAACAATAGAAATAGAAATCTCAAACTTTGGTGGTGGGAGCAAAACTCTTTGGATGGCCATTAAGAAATATCTGAGCAAATTTAAAAAGCATGGACCTCATTGCTCAGCAATTCTATTTCCAAGAATTTATTTATAGATAAACTTACATGGACTCTATTGTTCTAAAAGCAAAGATCAGTAACAACCTAACTGTTCTTCAATGGACAGCTGATTCATTAAATTATGATACATACATACATACAGCAGAGTACTGTGCTGCCATTTGAAAAAATGAAGCAGATCTACATAAGCTGATATGAAAAGGGCTTTAAGACATACCACTAAAAGGTGAGTAATCTGCATAGCATAGCATGATTGAATTTGAGTAAAAATTTTAAAAGCATATACATGTGCATATATACATGCATGCACATATACATACACATACATATTTGCATTTACATAGAAAATTTCTTAAAGGAATAATAAAAAACTAGATACAGTGGTAAACTCCCAGTTTACCAAATTAGACACGTAATAAGGAAAACTGAAAACAGACCTTGTCTCCAATGAGCTGCTATCAGGAATGTCACTTAGAATGATAATCTATTATATTAATTCAAATGCAGATACTGCATGATTCCATTTATATAAAGTACAAAAACAGGAAAAACTTATCCATGTCAGGATAGTGGTTTACCCTGAAGGGCAGGAAAGGGGGGAGAAAGTAAGAGGGCAGCCTCTGGGGGTGACGTGATGGTAATGTACTGTTTCTCGATCTAGATGTGAAAATCCATCAAGCTGTATGCTTATGTGCACATTTCTGTATGCTTACTACACTTTAAGGAAACCTTAAAAGAAAAAGTCAAGTGCTAGAGGTTTTCTAAAGCATTATTCAAATTGAGAAACTTTATATTTCCAAAGACAAAATTTTAATCTAACCTTCCCAAACTTTAACCTTTAATGGGTATTACTTCCAACTTTATGATTCAGATAATGACCTGACAACCTGGTCTACTGGCCCACAATACATTTTTAATTATATTTGCACATATTGTGGGTAAGGCTCATTACTCTCGTATAATTAAAAGGGTGGGTTTATTTTAAACTGTCCTGAAACAGCAAGGGATGCTTCCTCTACGCACCTTTGCTTTTGTCCTGTATCTTTCTCAGCTCCTTAAAAGTATTTTGCAATTCAGTTTCCCTTTTCTTAGTTTTTGTCTTCAGTGCCCCTTAAGTTACAAGCAAAGAGAGAGGTGAGGTGATAGATATTTCAAGCAAATCAATACCACTAAAGTAGAGGTAAAGCTAAGAAAAGGCATACTTAACAGGAGTATTTTGAAAAGGCTTGAACAAAAACTAAGAACCCACATACTTTTTAGTGTGCATAATCCTTAAAATAAAATATTCCTTTTTCTCCAACAAGAAATAAGCTCCAACTTCTATAAAGTTAAGAATTGAACATTCTGCTAATCACTTCATATTTTAAATGGCCCTGTGCTATTACTATCTGACCAGTATTTATCACGTGCCACGCATTATGCTAGAAGCAGAAGATACTTTCATGAACACAAACATATTACCTCCTCTCATGGGATTTAAAGTCTAGTCGGGGCGATGGATGTTAATCACAAAATTACTCAAGTCAGTATATAAGTATATATGTTCTGGAGGAAGAGAACTCAGTTCTACGAGAAAATGTAATGAAGGAACATGTGCCAGACTGGAGAGTCAGCAAACACTTCCCTGAGAAAGGAAAATTTGAGTTGCAATTTGAGGACTAAATAGGATTTAGCTAGATAAACATTTATTAAACACCTACTATGTGCAAGGCACTCTCTGGTCCTAGGGATGAAGAACTATATAGCCAGAGCTATTTTTCCCTAGGCACTTATATCCTTAATGAATAATTCTAATCTAGTAAAACAGTTTATGAGGACTTCGTGGCATGGATTAATTCTACATAAACAATAACCTGAAAAATATAAAAGCACTTACGTGTGGTTTTAAGAAGAACCTATAGCTGTGCTGTCCAATATGGTAGCCACTAGGAGAGACATGGAGCTACTGAAGACTGACTACTGCAACTGAGGAATTGAATTTTTTATTTTATTTAATTATAATTAATTTAAATAAAACTTTATAAACTGATATTTGACTCTTTTTAGAAATAAGTAAGTTTAGAACTTCTTGGGTAGGTGAATCTACTTTTTCAACTATCAATTTTATGAAATCTAAATACAGATCAAGCATTTCTAAGGAAATTTTGCATCTGAGTTGAGTGCTGTAAATATAAAACACACACTGATTTTGGAGACTTAGCATGAAAAAAAGTAAAATATCTCATTAATAATTTTTAAATATTACATGTTGAAACGATAAAATTTTAAATATATTGAGTTAAATAAAACATTGTTAAATTTAATTTCACCTGTTTCCTTTATTTTTTTCAATGTGAATATTAGAAAATTTCCAATCACATATGTGGCTTAGATTACATTTCTATTGGAGAAGCACTGATCTAGGGAATGCAGACAAATTCCAAAACTTAACCCCAACCAAAATATTATCTACCTTTCCTATAAAAGCAAAGACAGGCAGAAATGCTACCTCAGCGGTAAAGCTAAAGAAGGTTTGGCAGAATTCAGAGCAAGCAGCTTTGTTTCCATAAAAATCACATACTGAGTTCAAAGACATTCAAGACTCAAGGTAGGCCACAACAAGCTCCACATTAAGAATACAGTTGTGATTTTAAAACAATACATAAAACGACCTAAGTGAGACAATCTGGCAACAACCGCCTCCCTTCCAGCAGCGTTTTCACGCGTCTCATTAATGAAAATCCATAATGTTGATACGTCTTGTGATAACGCTACTGAAGCTCAATAAATGTCTGAGAGGACCACAGACAAGAGCACCCAAGCAGAAGTCACGAAGGCACTATTAAACGAATAAATAAGTGAATAAATAAATAAAATGCCCACTTGTATTTTAGTTCAGTATAAGACACTATGTACTTTTAAATGATGCCCAAGGGAGATAAAGATATAAATAAAAATCAAAGAATTTTACTTTACCTGTCTTCCCCAAATACAGACAAAATAGTCTGACAAATTCTTCTCAATTTACTCCGCTCTGTCCTTCCACTTCTTCTTTAGATCTTTAGCATTTCACGCAGTTCCACAACTCCTGCCCCAGCCTCCAGTCTAATCCCACCCAACACCTCCTTCCAGATCTATCCCAGCTCCACAATGCCAGATAAACACTGCTCCGTTCACAATCACTCTCTTATCCAAAAACCTCCAGAACAAAGTTCTTTCAGCCATGGACAATCTAACACCCAATTGATTCTAGAACTTCTCATGGACTCAAATCCTTCATTACCTTCAAGTAGCTACTTTCCTGAAAACTCTAACCTATGCAATCTTATCAGACACGACGCTCCCTTGCTATAACTAATATTTTATAACATCCCCTTTACTTTCTTGAAATGAAATTCATAGATAGTATAACCTATCTGCATATAAATCCCAGAAAAAGATAAATAATAGGAGGGACACATTTCAATAGATAATTCTTGGGCCTGACTACACTAGCAGTCACAATGAACAGTCACCAGATGCTTGCATCTATAGGCAGAATCACCGTGAGCAATGAGAGCTACAAATGCAGACTGACAGAGGCGTGTGTTGTGTCATCAACCCAGATATCATGATTTGCACTGCGGTCAATGACATCAATTTCAAAATGCTGAACTCTAAGAAAATTCCAAAAAATATTAAATACAATTATCTTTCAATTAGAAGTCTCCACTTCTGGAATATATAGTATATATTAAAGCCATAAAAAAATACTTTATGTTTAGAACTTCTAGGCTCAGATCATTATAAACATGTTGTTCACCTACATGAATATTTGGCAGGGTATTTGCAAGCTTTGCAGAGTACGACACTTTGTTATACAGGGTTGTCCTGGGTACTGCAAGACATTTATCATCCCTGTTCTCTACATCAAAAATGCAAATAGTGGGCTCTCTTCCACACTTCTTAAGGGGTGCTCTAGCCACATCCAGCCCCCCAACTTTGAAAATTATGACTCAGTCCAGAGTTATCTCCTCCTCTTCTTAACTCATTCAACATTTAGGTCCTATATGATCTTGAACCAAATACTTAATGTCTGTAAACGTCTCTTACTCAACTGCAAACTGAATAATCTGACATCAACCTGACAGTTACTATGAGGATTGAATGAGATATGATAGGTTGCTTGCTTGCTTTGCTTTGTGCCTGGCAGATATTTAACATACAATAAATGCTAACTATTATTA